ACTTCTGGTACTTTCTGGGTCAAGAGACCAAGAATCACTGGTACCAACAGAGAATACCTACCTGAAACATTAGTCACTAGTGGTACCACCACAACCCCATATTGATCCATAAGCTCAGAGCCTTCCTATTGTCTGTCTTGTTATAGAAAGGCAAAAGTCCACATACTTCAAAAGAGCAGAAGGACTCTCCTGCTAGAAGCACCATTCCAGAGGATGTTTTGGTTCTTGTGAATCTGAGGTCTTCTCTGTTGTCAGGACTGACCCTCATCAGCAAGATTTTGTCCCTACCAGGAGACATGGCCTGAAGAAGAATGAATCTATTTCCCATCCCACCTACTAGCCATGACTTTCCTTTGATAGAACTGACAGCATCACCAATTGAACTAGACCCAAACTTTTCATCATTAAGGGAATCAGAGCTGCCAGATGAACCCTTGGTGCCAGTGGTATTCTGTGCTTTAGCAGCTTCCATAACATGCCTTTTCTCTTTCCTAATGACCTTATTGGGGCACATGGGACCCATATGCATGACACCCAGAGTCTATGCAATCTCATAGGGAGACATATCGCTGTTCCCCTCCAAGAGTGCAACCAGCACTTCCTCCTGAGCCTACAGAAAGAGGAAGAGGTGGACCCATGGACTATGCCAGTATTAACAGAGGATCTCCTGATGAGGTGCTCACCCCAGCTTCACCATCTACTCCTAATGACCATAAGCAATTCCAGAAGTTGCTACACAGAATGGCAAAAGATCTCCAAATATCTGTAGGCTCCAGTCCATAGGGTCTAGCCAGACAGCACTCCAACTGAACAAAGACATAGTGGCACCAGGAAGAGCCATATGGCAAACACTAGCAGCCTGCACCCTTCTTCCCAAGAGGGTTAAAAGTATTACTTTAAGGGAGAAGAGTTTCTATATATCTACTCTACACCAATCTCCCAAGTTGTTCAGGCTTCCACAGAGAGATCTAGGCAAGCCAAGAGTCTTTAGCTCCTGGGGAGGAAGATGCTTATCTATCAGGCTTGAGTTAAACTTGTCCTTCAACAAGACCAAGCTTTTCACAGAAAGACAAACAAGTCCTTGCACTCACCAAAGGACACCAGGGCAACCTTCTCATCCCAAGGTATACATACACCAGCCCCCAAAAGGAAATACTGTAAGCAGCTATAAAAACCAAGACCTTTGCCTCTGCTGTTTTGCAATCAATACTCTTAAAAGCACTTTGTAAAAGACAGAAGGTACAAGGGCCATGCTACCCTGCACCATACATTTCAAACACATCAACTCTACATCAACCCCGACTCCTGCCAAAAGATACTCAGGAGTTACAAATGAGGGTTGATGGCATTTCCACCCAATGTCCAGGTTTCCTTTAGCAGCCACCTCTCTTTTCCCCCCAAACCAGAAGGAAATAACAATGGATAAATGGGTGCTGTATATCATCCATTCCACTTACAGCTTTACATTTCTCTCCCTGCCTCCTCCTGAATCCCTTTACAGGATTCACTCTCATGGAAACACCCCCCCGCTGGAGGTAGAATCCTTCCTCTAATGGGCAGTAAAAGTGTGAGTACTTGCTCAACATCAGGTAAAAGGGTTCTATTCTAAATATCCCCTAGTTCCCAAAAAGAAACCCAGTCGTGACCTGTGATGGTGCAATGTTTTTAGTCACAAACTAAAATTCCATATAGCTATTGGCATCCATAATATCAGCTATGGAAAAGGGGACACAGTTAACAACTCTCAATATGAAAGGTGAACCATTTCACCTTGACCATCTACCCTTTACACAGAAGATTTCTAAGGGTCTAACCAGGAAAGGAGATTTAATTCTCTCAATATGTGACAAACATTGTCATTCTACCCAAAGAGAACAAAATCATTGAGAAGGTCACCTGAGCTACTTGTTGTCATAGCAGATTGAGCACAAGGTCAAGCTATATCCTCCCAGAGAATCTCTAATTGGATCTCTGGATGTATCATATACTGTTAGCAGTTGGTGCTGTTTCCCCTCTCATATGGAGCAAGGGTTCTCTCCGAGGACATAAGCAGCCTCGGTAGCTTCACTTCACAAGTTTTCCTCCAAATAAAGACAGAGAGCACCTCTTAGAGTTCCATCTACATGTTCGCAAGATATTGCACCTTGGCTGATGATTCTTTGGGACTGATTTTGCAAGCAGTTATGCCACCTGCAACCTTGCTCCTTTCTTCTCTTTTGAGTACTGTTTGTCAGTCACCCATTGTGAAGAGAATTTCTTATTTGTTGTTTTTTAAGTTTTTCCTGTTTCAGACTAACTTGGCTACCCCCTAAAACTTTTTGCCTTATTATGTAACTGAAATTCTTCAAGATGTGTGGTCCTTGTGTGTATTCCGCTTTCAATCTTCCTTCTTCATTGGTTCTTGGCAAGATTCATGGTAGGGAAGGAACTGGAGAAATGGTTGGTCTGCCTCATCCGCAGTATCCTCAGTCAGGAGGACAGGCACAAGCCAATGGATACAGCTTGTAAGAATTCCCTCATATCATGCTCATGGAGCACAAACAAGTGCAGAATGGAATACAGATAGGGACTACACACCTTGAAGAACTTCTGTTTAAAAAGGGTAGGAAAGTTCTCCTTCCACTTGGCTCTGTTTTCAGTCTCCTTTCTCAGCTCTTCTGGAGTCTTCTCCTCCAACTCCCATATGGAGCACTGGCCTTCCTGAGGTGTCTATTCTCCTGAAAATTCTGGTTTGGGCCCCTTTTTTGGGATTCCCCATGGTTCCTCCTCTCAGACTGAATTCTCTCCCTTTTTATGAGGTGCAGATATCCAAAAAGTTGTCATGTGATGTCTCTTAACCCCACCCACTTGCTGAGAAGCAACTAACCAATTATGACTTGGATTCAGGAGATGCAACTAGGGAGGTAATAGTGTAGTCGATTAACTGGTTAACCGATAAGCAAAAGCTTATCAGTTAATGCTATAGACTACATGCATTCCCACTCCCTCCAGTAAATTTTTTAGCAGGCTGGCTCAGTCCTGGCTTGCACCGTGTCCAGGATCTACCCCTTCTGTGTTTCTGCATTTAAAGTGTATTAGGAGCCAGGCAGGCAGCCTGGCTCAGTTCAGGCTCATGCCGAGTCCAGGAGCTCAGACACCCCCCCAGACAGGGGCTGCTGCCATCCCGCACTGCTGTCGCTGATACAGAGGCAGCAGTGTGGGATGACAGGCAGCTGGTCCACAAGAGGGGAACTGGTTTTTAAACTGGCTCCCCTCACAGACCAGCTCATGCTTGGCACCCTACGAAGCAGCATGGAGTGGTAGGGAGCTCCTCGAGAGTGTGGCAGGAGCGCACTGGCTGCCGACACCACCCTCAGGGACAGTAGAATAGACGAGTAACCAATCATTCATGAGGTTAATTGACTATTCAGTTAACCGATATTTAACATCCCTAGATGCAACTAGTTGGCACTAACCGTTTTTTCATAATCTTTCTAGTTATAAGTTAGAGAAAGCAAAATAGTCCAAGAAAAAAGGACCAAACTATGTCTGGTCTGTAAACACTCGCATAAATAATTCTTTCTTCCCCTTTCTAGCCTTTCCTCCATACACAACTTCTACAAGACTTGACTGATGTCATCAAATCCTTCCCCAGGTCTGGAAGTATAATGTACTGCTACTTAGGGAAGTCTGATGGATTTTGAAGTATCTGTGATCAAGCAAAAATGTATAACATGATAATCACAAGCGGAAAAGGGGAGGAAACTTAGAATGAGAGTTGCACAAACAGTTGTTGTTAATTTCAAATACAGCCTCTCCCCGAGTTACGAATGAGTTACAGACCAAACAGAATGAGTTGGCCATAACTCAATCTGTTCATAACTCGGACCCCATTGATTTGCATAGCGACTGCACTGTTCATAAGCGCAAGTCCCATTCGTAACTCGGGGACTGCTTTTACGACTGCTCCATGGGAGCTTTGATCGTAAATGTGAATGGTCGTAACTCAACTGTTCGCAACTTGGGGACCAGCTGTTCCTGGTTCCCTTGTTGAACCCTAGGAAAAAAACAGTACCACAAATTGAAGATTTTCTGTAATTATATAAATGTATTTAAGTAATGTAATATTTTCAGTTTCTTATTAATGGCACATTTTAGCATGTAAGAAAATACTGGCTGATATATTATTTACTAGATAATTAACTTTTGCTCATTATTTGTGTCAATCTGCATTAGGATGGTAACTGGGATTTAATTAAACAGGCAACAATTTTTATTTAAATGTTTTAAGAGATTATAAGTAGGTTAGGTCTTCACATGTTTTATATTAAATCCCAATTTCATTTTAACAGGTTTATTTTTAAAAAGAAAACCATATTATATTTTAAATAAATGGATTTGAATAAAAAGTGCATTGATTTTTATCCAACATAACTATGACCTTATTAAGACAACAGAAATGTCACCAGTGGCAATGGAAATTCTTATTGAAGATCAATATGTGCATGATGATTTAGGCCACGTATGAGAACTTTTGGCTAAGTAGTTAAAAACAGGGGGTACTGTAAGTAAAATCCATCAACATAAATTCAGATGGTTCTTTTTTATGCATTTTGCTGTTGAAAACAGAAAGGTCCAAGGCAATCAACAACTTGCACATGTAACTTTTCAAAGCATATATCTAGTTCATGCATTAGGGTATTTAGAAATAGCCTTGACATTGAAGTGTTAACTGGATCTCTGCTTTTTGATGGAATTTTGCATTTGCTTCCTCCAGCATCTGATGATGGTCAAAAACCTTGGTCAGAAGGAGACTCTATGGTCCATCACTGCAAAGTCTTTTTGTTTTATTTTTCAAATCTAATGTGATGGCAACATTCATTCTTATGCTACAACTCTCAGCCAAAAATCTTACCAATTCAAGGGAGAAATCAATTGAGCTCTTCTTTAAAACATTGTGGGTGTTGGTTTTTTTTGTTTGTTTGGTTTGCTAACAAAAAGAATTTGTGAGGCTGAAGCCTGACATTCCGCAAAAGATACTTATAGCATTTTGGTTCATATTCTCTCTGAGTAGCTTTTGTACAAGGCTTAAGCAGGCATGTTCCAAATGGATCTGCTGCAGTATTGCTTAATGAACATTATTATTATCCTCGTACTTATATACTGGATGTCGTTAGAATTTTGAGCAAGTATACAAACAGTAGCAGAGAAGATCACTGTACTCTTCTGAATTTTTTAGTCTGGTCGATTCCTGCAGTATTCACATATGTCAGCTGTTGTCTACCAGGATTTTAGTAGACTGAAAGGGATGACTTTTTCAAAGTACAATGGATTGCCTAATGAATTCATTCCAAAGGGGACACATGGAACCCTTTTTGGCAGAGAGAATCAATATTGCAAGGTCAAAATCAGCCCCTGAGGTCTGGTAATAGGAGGGATTTAGTTTTGGCTGTTACAAGCACCGGAGCACAACACAATAAACAGTACGCTCTACTGGTGTAACTATCCAGACTTTGAGACTTGAATATTATATAAAAAGGGCTTATGGGAACACACTATTATAGAAACGTCCTCGATGATATTGCTTTCATGAGTGCAGAGGGACTGTACTAGATGCTCTCTTGAGGTCCCTTCTAATCCTTCAATTCTGTGATTGGTAAACTTGACTGATTGAGCACGATTAATCTCTTTCCACTCTCCCCCATTCCTCCACATCTGGAATAAGGGCTAATAATAATAATCGTTCTGCCTCCAGGACTGGGAAAAATGTGAAAAAGGCATTGCTGACTCCTTGGGGAAACTAAGATCCTTCAAGAAAAGGCTTTCTCAGCCACTGCCAAATCACCACGATGAGCTGCATGCAGAGCAAATTCGTTGCAAGGTAAAGCAGTCTGAGCTCCGTGTGGTCTGCAATTTGCTTGTCTTGGAAAATCTTCAGCCATTATAAGTCTTGGCATTACTGACTATGTAGATCAGCAGCCCACAATTCCTGCATATGCAATTTAATGCTTATACCTGCATAAATATTTTGTATGTGCATCTGTTCATTAGAACCACACTCTCTAACAAACGAATACACAAACAAAATGTGTAGACAGACACAAGCAGGGGAAATTGTCCAGTACTGAGACCTTAGTTAATGTTTGTACAGCACTTGGAAGGTATAGGACTGGTCTCTAATCTTACATTAGTATAAATTAGGTTATATCAATAGAAAACCAAATTAAATCAGATCAGAATTAGGCCTATAAATAGTTATAAAAACGCTATGTATTGGTGGTTCTTTGGTCTAGAGCTTCTTACTGCATGAGTCTTTTAGATGAGACAAGAAAAAGTATATAGAATTTAAAATGGTGTTTCCATGCTCCTTACTCCTTTTCAGGAAAACTGAAGATCACAAACTTTTACCTGGCATTAGTTGCAATTTAGAAACCAATTGTGAATCCCAATATCATTTTTCCTTTCTTAAAATCACAGGGTAAACATGGTGCAGAGGTGATTAGTAGAGATGAACCCAAACCAAATAGCCCTGAAATTTTGAGAAATTAGACCCTGGATTTTAGTTTAGACTCACATCAGCTCTTAAACAAGTAGCAATATCTTGTTATATCAGTTTTACTACCAATGGGACCTCCCTTCTAACTTTGAAAAAAAAAGTCTGTCTTACAGGTTGTCTACAGTAATCCCATTAAATATGGTTCTTCACTCTCCATCTAAATAGTGACTGTTAACAGGCTTAGCTTGCCAGATACAGTTGGCTTTTAAAATGCTAGTGCCTATGGTTAACAAATACATGTAACTTCGTATATTAAAGCTGTTGCCAAAACACCTTGATTAGGTGCATAAACACCTTGATTTTTGTCATGCATTTTTTTAAACCAGGAGCTAGAAAATGCTGTTGAAGGGTGGACAGATGACCTTGCACATCTGACACTGCTGAAGGAGACTTTGGCTACCTACCTCAGTGCTGATGATATCTCAATCCTCAATGAGCGCATTGAGCTGCTTCACAGACAGTGGGAGGAGCTGTGCCACCAGGTAAATGAGACGCTGAACTTGGATGTGATTATACACATGAAAGGGGGCACAGAGATGGCTGAATGTGATTAGCAGTTGTGGCTTTGTCTACATTGCTGAGTTTCAAGTGCTGCTGTGGCAGCACTTTAACACAGCAGTGTGGTCATGGCACCAGTGCTAAGAATTCTTTTAGAACTCTATGTAAACAACCTCCACAAGGAGAATAGCTAACAGTTCTGGGACCCTGCTTTACAGCAGTGTAACTTTTCCACACCCCTGAGTGAGAAAGCTGTAGTGCAGTAAAGTGACAGTGTAGACAAGCCCTGTTAGAACAGACAGGGACCAGCTGCATGACAAGTTAGCAGTAGAATATGAAATGAGAATAATCAATTTGTAGGATATAACATCATCACTCTCCAAATGCAGAGGCAAAGCTAAGGAAGTAAAATTTGGTATGTCAACTCCAAGCTTCATCCAGAAGAAAAACACACACTTTTGAAGGTAGGCTAAGGAGGGAAATACTTCCAGCCTTAGTGGTTTATAGATATTTAAAATGAAAGAGTGGAGAAAAACTATAAAATTAGGGAAATAGCAGATGTAACTCACTTAATAGCAAACTTGGAGTCGAATAACCAAAAGTCTGCTCTTGAAATGGGACAGCAATGAAGAAGAATCCCATTCCTGAAGGGAAACCGTGACTAACCTAATAATCAAAGGATGTGTACAGTATGGCTGTGTCTACACTGGGCCACTTATTCCGGAAAATCAGCCGCTTTTTCAGAATAAGCTGCGAGCTGTCTACACTGGCCCTTGAATTTCCGGAAAAGCAACGATGCTCTACTGTACAAAATCAGCCACTATTCCGGAAAAACTATTCTGCTCCCGCTTGGGCATAAGTCCTTATTCTGGAACACTGTTCCGGAAAAGGGCCAGTGTAGACAGCCCAGTAGTCTTTAACGGAAAAAAGCCCCGATCGCGAAAATGGCGATCGGGGCTCTTTTCTGGAAAAGCGCATCTACATTGGCCACAGACGCTTTTCCAGAAAAAGGGCTTTTCCGGAAAAGGAGCCTGCCAATGTAGACGCTCCTTTTCTGGAAAAACTGAAAACGGAATAGTATTCCGTTTTAAGCATTTCCGGAAATTCATGCCAGTGTAGACACAGCCTATGTGTCTGCAATCCCTAAAAGGGTTCATCCTTACATTCCTGGAGACCAATTTTTCTGTGAAATGTCCATTGAAAGCAATGGCCATGCCAAGACCAACAAAAGGAAGAGAGCAGGATAAAATATTTTATTATAACAGTGGAACATTTCCTCTTAAAAACTTTGCTTCGCTATGGAGCTATGATTAAGAACAGTCCAGTGTATCTTCAAGTGTTTGCTTTAGTTACCACTAACATTTTCAGACTTCCTGTAAATGAATACTGAATTGAACAAGGGTATAAACAAATTCAGGGAAAATACTTATGGCATAATTGGCCGACAAAAGAAACAGAACAACATCACTGGCCCAGAGGAGGTAGGGTTGTTCTGGTATTCTGTTTTTAAAAAGTCCCACTGTACTTTGTACTCTGTTGGTAGTCTGTTTTAACTTGTGTTTTTAAAAATGCACAGTTCTCATTCCCTTTGGCTTGGCTGCCCGCTTAATTCTTTGGCACTGTGTGGGAGATAAATACACAGTGTCTAGGTGCCTTTTAAGTTGCTTCTTATGCTTAGAAATCGTGGCTCCAGATTTAAAGTTGACACCTCTCCCAGATTTGCTGGGTTGCTCTAATTTTACTTTTGTACTTCAAAGTACATCAAACAGTGAAGAATCGTTTCAATATCAACAAAATCAAAACAAAATAAAACAAACATTTTAGGCCAACAAAATATAGCTACCTTTTGCCATGGACATGATACCCTTTTTCATAACTAGTTTGGTGCAAACAAATCTGTTCTGCAGAACGCAATATTAAAAACTATGAAAGGAGTGCACCTAGTTTTGAAAATTTTCAGAATTTAATTTGGGCACTCAGACTAGAGAATGTTTTTTCCTGTCTTTTGAATGAAGTAGTGAGGCTCATGAGAGAGAGGCACAATTAAGAATCATTTATGGGAGAAAAGACTTAATGCATCATAAAACTCTCATAAAACAAAGCAACATTGGCTGCATGTGGGTGAATGGACCAGAAGACCATTTCCCAGATTCCTGTTACACATCTTTTATACTAATGGAGAAGGTTGATTATAGATAGGATATCTTAATCTGTCTTTTTACATATTTAATGTTTCAGGATGTAACCATATGAGTGAGGCTTTTTTTTCTTGCTTAGTAGTTGGGTGTTACCACAAAAGGAAATGTGCTACCATTTTTGTGTCTGACTTGAAAAATCAAAAGCTTCAGTTAGAACAACAGTAAGTTGTATGTGAAAGAGCAGGTGCAGTTCTTATATGATCAGTGGAGATGCTGATATAGAGTCAGAAATAACTCGTATTACAGATGAGGAGGAAGAAGCTATAGTAAGTAGGATGCCATTACATTGTAGTCATGCAATTATCAGAAATTCTGCCAGGAGAGATTAGTTTACTGTGAATATTCTTTCAGGTGCTCTTCCCATATTTACACAGTTTTCTTGTACTTCACAGAATGAAATTGAAATATCTTTCTACTAATTTCTTAAATATACAGCATTCTTTTACTTTTCAAAGTGACATATGTTTGACACGGCTCCATTTCCTGTGTTTGCTGCTCTTTTGTTTTTCTGTTTCAGTTTGCATTTATCGGCTGCTACTTTCTGTCGTAGCATTTTTTATCCCTTAGGAATCTCTGGTCACCTAGTACCAAGCTTGCAAAATTAGAGGCACTCTCAAAATATATGTATGTGGACACAAGCATGTAACTGTACGTGCATTTGCAATTGCTTGGTTTATGTTACCTATCTCACCCATGCAAACATTTTGCAAATAAAATTGACATATGAATCTTTTATAGTTTGGCCATATCATGTGTGCCTCCTCCTAGACATCCATTTGGTTTGCAGTCTAAAAAAATTGTTCTAAGAGTCAAGCATCTATTTTGTGCTAAGTTGGAGTTTGTGCTCCCAAATAAAGAAACAAAGCTATCAATGTACATTGTAATGCTTAATAGATGAATATATTTACTCTAAAGATAACAAAAGGGCTATAGTTAACTGTGCTGTGGAAATTTGAATTAAAGACCATTGATGTGTATCTTGTCATGAAGTCAGTTAAATTTACAGTATACTCCTTCCTGTCTGCATCAGGATATGACTACGAAGGGTACTAAGATTAATGCTGACCCTTAACTTGCAATGAGTCATGCAAGATTTTTGTAGCACAACTTCCATTTACATTAATGACAGCCAGGTAGCTAAAACCCTTTGCAAGGCTGAGAATTTACCTCCATCAGTGAGCTCTCATCTTCTAACTGTAATCTCTTTTTTTGACTCTCTCTCTAAACATTACAAGATTTCCTTGCGGCGGCAGCAGGTGAATGAGAGGCTGAATGAGTGGGCAGTCTTCAGTGAGAAGAACAAGGAGCTCTGTGAGTGGCTAACACAAATGGAGAGTAAGGTGTCTCAAAATGGAGACATCCTCATTGAAGAGATGATTGAGAAACTCAAGAAGGTAAATTTATTTTGGTTGTTTGTTTAAATACTGTTATGTTCACCTTTTCTTCTGCCCTGTCTGGATTGTCAGAACTTGAATAATCTATTACTGGCCTGTATTATAGATAGAATAGATAGAACTATATATTAAAAGAGCCACCAGTCTGATCCAATATGGCAGTTTGTATGTTCCAGTGAAAATATTTGCCAATGTTCTTCTCTAATTATGTGCCTTTTTCTGTGCTTCTTAAAGTGAATTTCTCAAAATACAGAGAAATATCCCAAATGAATACACAGCTAAGAAAGGTGAATGTTTTACTAAATGCCTGCTCACAAGTGTCTGTAAACCACTTATGAATTATTGTATATGTATTTGCAAAATGTTTTTTTTCTTTTTATTATTTATGTTTATGTTGTGGTGTTTGAGGATTTGTTCATTCACCAAGCTATTTCCAACTTAACTTTAGACACTGCTTATGTTTATTTTAATTCTTCTAGCGGTGCAGAACTGAATGTGTTCCGAATACGTTTCCTGATCTCTGTTGATTCCTCTTTGCCATCTAGGATTACCAAGATGAAATTGCCATAGCCCAAGAGAATAAAATCCAGCTCCAGCAAATGGGAGAGCGTCTTGCCAAAGCCAGCCATGAGAGCAAAGCATCAGAAATTGAATACAAACTTGGCAAGGTCAATGACAGATGGCAACACCTTCTAGATCTGATTGCAGCCAGGTAAAAGCAGCTGCTTTGTTTTTAAATCCTACATGGAATAGAATCCTACATTGCAATTCATAAGGCAGTTGACTTCTTAGCTCAAGGAAGGATTCAGAACATTTTCTTACTTGTCTCTACACACTCATCTTAACTGTGATATGTAACAGATCTCAGCCAACAACATGCCTGGTTGAACTTATCCTTCCTGATCTACTGAATCTGCTTCAGGAAGTTAAAAGCCAGTATAGTATTTACTAGGATGACTAAGACTTACTGTAGTCAAAAGTTTATTGTCTTCTGGTCATGAATGGTCATTTTAGGTTGAAAATGGAAAGCAACATGAAATATTTTGTTTTCTTTAAAGAGCAGCACTAGGGCAACTAAATCACTAAATTCTCACTCACTTTTAAAAATCTTACCTAAAGGAGAGTTTATAGCCCAAGAGAATAAAATCCAGCGGTGGTTTTGTTTTTCTGGTCAGTTTTTCTGATGGTTTTTAGTGGAGAGAGTAATGTAGACAGATGTATGTCCATTGAGCATAGTCGCTTGCAAAAGAAAAATAAAATGTAAAAAGTAGTTCCCAATAGGTTATGTTATCTCAGTTAGGAATAGAGATATGAACAAGTAGACGATTAACCAATAAGCCTAGGTTTATCAGTTAAACTTCTTGACTATTCGCATTCCCCCACCCTTGCTGCTTCCATATCAGAGGCAGCAAGTTGGGGGAAGTAGGAGCCGGTGCTGTGGTTTCCCCCCAACATCGATTCTGCAGTGACACCTGCCTCTGCCCTGCGCTGCTGCCTCTTATACACAGGCAGGTGCACAGGATGGCAGCAGCTCCAGATACAGACTTCTGGAGAAAGGGAAGCGGTGGGAAAGGCTGGCAATGCTCCTCCTAATGCAACCTAATATGCCATTAGCCTTCTTGGCTACAAGGGCACACTGTTGACTCATATCCAGCTTCTCATCCACTGTAACCTCCAGGTCCTTTTCTGCAGAACTACTACTTAGCTGGTTGGTCCCCAGACTGTAACAATGCTTGGGATTCTTCTGTTCCAAGTGCAGGACTCTGCACTTGTCCTTGTTGAACCTTATCAGATTTCTTGTGGCCCATTCCTCCAATTTGTCTTGCCGTGGGCAGAGGCTGCTTCATAGCAGCAGCCCCTGTCCGTGGGGGATCCGAGCTCCCCATGGATGGACCAGGCCACTGTGGACAGAGGCTGCTTTACAGCAGCCTCCCCCCAGCAACCTCTGTTCACAGGATAGGGGCTGCTGCTACTCTGCGCACCTGCCTTTTTATAAGAGGCAGCAGTGTGGGGCAGCAGGCATCTGGTCTATTTTTTAAACTGTCTCCCCTCATGGACTGGCTCCCTCTTGGCACCCCACACTGCTGCCTCTGATATACAGGCAGCTGCGTGGAATGGCAGGGGCCTCCCTGGGAGTGGGGCCAGATTACACTGGCTGCCGGCCCCACCCCCAGGGACTATAGAATAGTTGACTAACCACTAAGAATTCATGCGGTTACTCAACTATTCTATTACCTGCTATTTAACATCCCTAATTAGGAGAAGAAAAATATTACATTAAATGTCTGCTGTCCATTCTGAGCTGTAATGCAGCTTTTCTCCAGCTAATAGAAATATCTTCCTGCAGAATACAGATACAATAGTCAAAGCTATGGCAAATATTATTGTCTATCTGTACTAGTACCCAGTGTTCTATCTGCAGCAAGCAATTAATTTTTCTTCATCCAGAGGTTCTGTAAATATGTTTGGTAATCTCCAGTGTTCCCTCTAATCTTTCCCATCCATGTGCATATTGTTTCCATCCATGTGCAGAATAATTGTATGTGCACCAAGGTATATATATAAATGTGCACCACCAGTGGAAACAAACAGTCTAGATAGGGGATCTCTGCTAATCAGCTGGGTGGCATCTGAATCTCTCCTGAGTGGCTGCCCAAGCGCAAGGCTTACAGCCAACATTAGTCTACCATTGTACTACAATATTCCTCCTCAGCATTCGGTGAGTGCGGGGTGTGAATTCCACAGTGGCAAAGCCATTCAGGGTTGCAGCTCTTTTCAGATTAAGGTAGCTGTGTTGGTTTTAATGTAACATTATTCAGGAAGTGGCACTTTTTACAGACTGAGCCTGTTGATTTGAGAGGATGTGGTGTCTCACCCAGTCTTAAGTAAAACAGTTACTTACCTTAATTCTACATTTTCTCTAGAAGGCGTTTCTAGTGTTTAAACATAACAGTGATGGGCTTCCTGTGCCTCAGCCAAGCTTTAAGAGGTTTCCAGTGAGACGTGATGGTATATACAGATGGCAAAGTGTACTTCTAGAGATCTATCTGCTCACTACTGGAACTAGTGCTGTGCTTTGGGAGGCTGGACAGTCTCAGGATTCTAATTCTCAGTGGTCTTTTCAGATAAGCTGTAAAACTGAATTCTTATACACTTATGCCGATCTTCCCATGCCACTTTCCTCAAGAAAAGATTAATTTGTCTAATTACAGGTTTGCCTCAGTTCCCCCATCAGTTTCTGTTGGATGCTTTCTTACTGAGTACATATAGTGTTGCCCCCTTTCACCACAGATCTGGCTGGATTTGAATTATGAGTGAAGGGGTACTAGTATGAATATCATGTATATCATGTGGCTACAGTTGGAGTAGGGAATGGAAAAATTCAGAAGATTGGTGAAGGGAGAGAGAGCTTTTGCCAACTCATCTCTAGTACAAATGGTTGTGACTTTATCTAATGTCTGTTGGTTAGCCTGTGTGAAATGAGCTTGTGATTTAAGACTAGTTCGTAATGGGGAAAAAAATGCTTACATCTCAAAATAAGTTTGTAAAACACTTGGCTGAAATTTGGTATATCAGTGTATGTTGCTATTTTCAGGCATTCTGCTGGAAAATGCAGCTTATTTCTGACACTACTGACATTATAGTGCAAATTCAAAATTCTGGATCCCTGGCAATATTACTATTAACTCTGTTACATTCTCCATGTTTCTGCTCTCTCTCTCAATGCCATCTATTGCTAGAATGTGCTTATTGGTTTGTTTTCAGCAGCCACATCCTCCAGTGGGAAGTACCTATTTACAGGAAAATTAAATACAAAGTTGTAGCCATGTTTGTCCCATGATATTAGAGAAAAAAGATGATGAGGAAATCTCTTTTGTTGAACCAACTTTGGTGAAACAGACAAACTTTCAAACCACACAAAGCTCACCCACCTTGTCTCAGTTTGAACAGTACTCCTAGGATATTTCTTTCAGAAGATGAATGAGAATATATTTTGACTACATAACATTTTCTTTTTCTTTTTAAACAACTCTTCTTGTATTAAAGAATCTTGTTGTTAACCTGTGAGCAGACTAAAATTTAGTAATCTATTGCAAGATGCTCTTCCTAGAGGAAAAAAATCAGTCAACCACTGGACAGTTCTGAATCTGTTTTTATTAATATTTCAGACCATTTATGTAATCATTTTAAATATTCCTTCTGGCCTATTTTTTTCAGCAGCATATTTCCTTTTCACTTTTTCTTTACTACCCTTTGATTCCTTCTGTGGAAGAGAGGGGAGAATAAGAGAGAACTCTCCAGAAGGACAACTGCCTCTTGACTGAGGCGATTTCCTATTTCTGGCCCCTCGTGACTGGAAAGTTTTCTCCCCACAAATTATCCATTATGATAAATAGGCCAGCTGCATAGGTGTACAGCAAAGGAGTAGTGTGTGAATGCATGTGTTATACAGGACTTTTCTTGGACAGTTAAATTTACAACTGCTCAGTATTTGCACTGAAGCCTCCCTACCCCCGCCTTCCCTTCCTGACACTCATGGCCTACATTCCAGGAGATCAAGCCTGACACATGTTGATGAATGTAAGTTTTATTTAGAAACATGACCACTTGTCACCATTTAGTCTCATGTTAGCAGACACGGTCTACTAACATTTGCTTGGACAGTGAGGATTTTTGTGTGGTACTGGCAAAGGCATGCTTGCCTGCAGCACAGGCTGTTGGACTACAAGTTTTTGGGCTGCAAGTTCTTGGTTTTTAGTACTGGAAAATTTCATGGTGATAGGAGAAGATTTATGTGCTGTGAGGATGGCAGAGGACTGCCGTGTGGATTCAGATCTTCCAGACTGCAATTGCGATGTCACAAGGCAGGCAGCTATTTACTTTTACTTGTGCATAGCTTTGGAATTTCTTATAGCTTGCAGAGAAACTAGTTGTCATAATATTAATCCACAGGCAGGGTGCCTTACCTAGCAACTTTTCTTTTCTTTTCTTTTTTTAAAGCCCAGTGTTGTTGATGAGTGTTAGGAAATCAGAATGCTAGAACTTTGGGATCCTCAAATGTTTGACTTAACTGAAAATAGCCTGACCCCTATTAGTAGCTGGTTAAGTGATGCTGAATGAAAACATGGATCTGATTTTACTACTGTGTTTAATACAAGATCATGTAAACATGTGAGGGTATCCAGAAGGTTGTAATTTACTACCTGCTGTTTGTGTAATCAGAGAGGCCTGGCTGCAACTGAAAGTCTCAGATGTGCAGACGCTCTGTAAAAGTACTTTCAGCATTACTGTCTTCTATCCTTGTCCTTCATGTACATATTTTTAAAATATCTGTAAGCAGATAAATTATTTGCACCTTAGTTTTTTTACAATGTATATCAGTGGATTGAAATACTTTTATTTTTTGTCACATATTCTCCATGGGGGTTTTTTCGCTTTGTATTTTTCCACAATATTTTTAGTATAAACCAACTTGTAACTCTGTGAATTGTAAAATTATTTTTCAGTAAATGTAGAAGTATGGGGTCTGAAGAATAAATGGGGCATTTTCAGCTACTCATTAGTTACTGAATGCTGCATTTTTTTAAATTGAGCTATTTGTTTTAGATAATGTAAGTATGTTCAAGTATATATAGAAGATTTCTCATAGTAATAGTCCCCAAACAGAAGCATTCAAGTCTGAATGAAATAGTGCTCTTGCATATATTTTTTTTCTTGTAATATATTTGCCTGGAATTTGAGAATTCAAGTATCTCCAAACTAGTGGAGTAACAGTCTCATTGTTTTTTTCCCCTCTAGAGTGTTTTGCCATTGTAGTTTGTGTAGGTAAAACTGTAGACATTGTGTGACTATGATTAACAGCAAATTAAACTGTGAGTGATAGGTTGAGTTGATGTCACATTTCTGTGTATATATTTGTTGGTTGGTTTTTAAGTTAATATTAGTAACTAGCCATCTAATGTGTCTCAGAGGGGTAGCTGTATTAGTCTATGGCTTTAAAACAAGAAGTTTGGCAGTCATCTAATGACTAATACTGAAGTTATGAGTTCTGTACAATATATTGTTTTGTATATATGCTGCAGTGCAGTATATGTTTAGACTTAAGTAGAGTTTGAGCGTATCTAGTTTAACTCTAGCCAAATGAGTTTTTAAAAACTTCCATGTTATTTTCCACTCCATAATATTTTCTAAGTATTCTTCTTGGTTTAAAACTGGCTTTTAAAAAGGAATCACATTGCTTTTCTTTAAATATTAAATTATACCAGCAAGTGTAATGAGCTAATTTAAACTTTAAAATGTTTTCTCATTAACAGTAAACTGCAAAAGTGACCGATCGGATTACATATTATTTTTCTGCCCAAGATATAATATGGGCTATGAGAAAATTACAGCAAGCTTCAGGAACTTCCTGTATTTGTGACAGACTTGCTAAATTTAGACAACCCTGCTTAAACCTGCCTTGTGATAATTCCAAGCATCTAATTTGAATTAGGAATCCTTGTTAGCAAGCAGGGGAACTCAACCCAAGCCTCTTACAGTAACATGTTTAGTGAGATTTTCCAGACAAATTTGCTTTTTAATATATTGTTGTTGACAAATGAAACTCCAAAAAGGCACAGTTGTATTTTGCTCAGGGGGATCCAGACCCCAGACCCCCATGAGGAGACTGTGTGCAGCCTGTTTCCTGCCTGCTGGCAGAACTCTACAAATCCTGCCATCTTTCAGGCCATGCTGAGGAAGTATTTTGGGCTGTTGGAGAATGCAGAAATAAGTTTATTCCAGAAAAATTGCTTCTGTTACATGCACAGAATTTTGGGTTGTGTGTATGCAATTCATTTCAATGGGTGGAACAAAAGAGTTTAAAATGTCTTCCATGCTCAGACTAGAGGAGAAAAATTAGGTGAGCATGTAAGCATGATCCACTCTAAAAGCATGCAGGTATATTTTCAGTGTAATTAAAAACACATACCGAGGTTATTTAAGAGATTTACACATTTGATGAATAATTTAAAATACCCTTGGAGCCCTATACATGGTTCAAAATCTTATTGTGCTAGTCACAAACACAAAACAGGACAATTGTGGAATGATTTACTTACAACCTCCGAAAGACTAGAGAGCTGAACCTAACCACAAAGTTCGGATTCAAACTTACCTATATTTCAAGGATGCTATAATCTGATTATTTGGAGGAATTATTTAAAATGAAGTCTTCAAAATAGCTCCATATGGTGTGTACACTTATTACATGCTCTCTTGCGAGTGGATGCTCAAAAGCTGCTAGCCAGGATGGGGAGGGAGGCTTAGGAATGGGCAACTGGATGGATCACTTGATAACTGCCTGTTCTGTTCATTCCTCTGGGGCAACTGGCATTGACCACTCTTTGAAGACAGGATACTGGGATAGATGGATCTGTGGTCTGACCTAGTATGGCCGTTTTATGTTCTTACGAGTGGTGGAATCACAGTGCAACAAAGACATTGGGGGCATTCTGTCTGAAGCAGGCCTTATAATTCCAGGAGAATACACAGCAGCAATTATTTTTGAGCCTTCTAAACCAGTGGTTTGCAACCTTTTTCATTTGCAGACACCTAAAAACATTTCAAATGGAGGTTCATCTCCCTTTGGAAATCCTAGACAGTCTGCAGTCCAGAGGTTGAAAACCACTGCTCTAAACAAAGTGAAGCATATAATCTTCCTATGCCAGTTCCACTTCAGCAACTGAAACAGTAGTAGACATAGGACTCTTACTACCTCTTACACACTCTCTTCGGGATCTTTAACACTAATATGCAATTTCCTTTTGTTAATTTCAATAGCTACTTTACTTGTAAGCTGACCAGGTGACCACATTATGAAACAAAATGCACAACTAATTTAGAGACACTTTTTTTTTTTACATTGACCACATTAAAAACATTTTGTTTTCCTGAGCCAAAAGATACAGAAGCCTACTACATCTGTGTGTGGCCTCCTGAAAATCCTGAATTTCTGATGATTAGAAATATTGGTTTAGGCACTATTTATATGCTTAGTACTGTAAGTAGTAAGGGGAAGCCCTAGATTAATAATTCTGTTATTTTGAGTGTAAATGTTAAATTGAATTTCTCAATGAAAATTACAGTGAAGGGATGTATTATAAAGACTGTTTATTGATGTGCACATGTTCTTGTTTCTCCTTTTGGTAGGGTGAAGAAGTTAAAGGAGACCCTGGTTGCTGTACAGCAGCTGGATAAGAATATGAACAGCTTGAGATCCTGGCTTGCTCACATTGAGTCAGAGCTGTCCAAACCCATTGTCTACGAAACCTGTGATTCCGAGGAGATACAAAGGAAACTGAATGAGCAGCAGGTAAAATACAAAATGAGGTAGAAGAGTAAAAACCTGACATGGTCACCACACTGGCAGTTACACTATGGTGTGGGAGACCCAAAGTAAACTATAACCTTGAGCTGCTGGTATCCAGCTCAGTGTTGAAAGAAGGCACTGATGCAGAGAAGATGCCCTTAGATTTCAAGGCACATGGTGCTTATTGCATCACTCTGGTAGAGTCTTCTGCCGGCTTTGACATTGAATCTACAAGGAGCTGCTTGACCCAACAGAGGTAAGGTACCATGCTGTTATGTCCAGAATGTGGGTTACTGTTGTGGTTGAGATATTTTAATTAAATAAAGAACTACCATCTTCTTCCAGATATTAAAGTGAAGTGTGTTGTAGTGTTAGTTTGCGAATTTTATACGTGTTTGAAATTGACCATCTTTGGAAGATTTTGTTTTGTTTGCAATTCATAAACATGTTTGCGTCCCTTTGCATGTTGAGCAGCATGTGCAACACAGAACTGATGTTTAACTTGAAACTGATGTGCAGTGTGCAAAACTTGCACCTGGTGCTGAAATGAAGCAATTCATGCTGCAAATGGGAATAGTAGGATGGGCAGATAAGTTTTTCTTTATTTGTAGTCATTTTTTACTTTGTTTCCTTTTCCCTTCCCTACTAAACTATGCACTTCCATCACAACCTAGGAAAAATGATAGAAATGTAGCCGTGTTAGTCTGGGGTAGTTGAAGCAAAATGCAGGACAATATAGCACTTTAAAGACTAACAAGATGGTTTATTAGATGATGAGCTTTCGTGGGCCAGACCCACTTCCTCAGATCAAATAGTGGAAGAAAGTAGTCACAACCATATATACCAAAGGATAGAATTTAAAAAAATGAACAAATATGAAAAGGACTTCAATTTTGCAAAGTAAAGAAATATGCATTTCTGATCATATTTGTTGTTCCATGCCATTTCTGTCTGACACACTGGGCAGAGACTCTGTTGCGTGTCACATAGCAGATTGTGTTTTTGTTAGTTTTTTTTTCTTGGCAGACTGGTTGCTGACTGATATCAGTGCAGTTTGTGATGAGCTAGTGAAAAGCCAAACAACACCTCTTCTTAAAACACAAAGTGAAGGGATGTCATTTTTGTGGGAAGAAAAGTAGATAATTTTGTAGATAATTGATTTATAAAGCATGCAGAATGGGATTGTCAGTTTTAATCCTAACTCCTCAACTGATATACTGTGTGGCTATGGAAAGAAGCCTTTTAATTTCTATATACATTTCCCTATCTGTAACATGAGGTTAATAATACATATAGGATAGGTGTGAAGAGGAACTAATACTGTGCAGTTCTCTGAAGATGTAAAGTGTTGTACATTGCTGAGTATTAATGTTAAAGCAGAAGTTCAGAGATTTTTCTGGCCTCGTACCTATGTAGGCATCCCAAGGCTTGTTATATCTCCTTTACTTCTGCATTCATTCTGGTACAGACATCACTTGAACTCTTTTTTATCAGCAATTCTCAGCAGTGGTTTTAATGCAATGCTAGATGGTGGCAGTGTCCTTTTCAAAGTACCAGTGGTTCTATTGGAACTCCAAAGGGGACAAATGCTGGAAGTGTATTTTTTGCCTTGCAAATACAGTACATTTGGCAGACAATTATTTTATAACAATAACAGCAAAGAAAACATGAAGTTTTAACATGAAAGTTTTTTATTATAGCTGTTCATTTGTTTTTCAGAACACAGGTTACCTCCTCTGCCTTTTCAGCCAGCCATGTCAGCACTAGTATTTCTTTTATTCGTCTGTATATTTTTCCACATTTGTTTTCTCTTAGGGACATGATAGCTCCCCCGCCCACATTGTAACAAACCATCACTCAACTACAAATCTCAAATTTAATTAAAAATGTAACATTGCCTGCCAGAAAGTTGAGCCGAATCTCAGTTCTGTGGCTCCCCACTCAAGTTTCTACTGACCTGAAGGAGAGTGTCTAGCATCACTGCAATCAGCTAAATTAAAAACAAGCTGAACGCTGAGATTTTTTAGTACAATTCCACATAATGTTATGGATTCTGTAGTAAATTTTGTGGCCTTGAAATTATAGCTTACATGGGGAACAACAAATACCAAAGCAACCATTTGCACAAGTTTGGTTAAATGAACATGGATCTTGTTTCCTCCTCTGTGACCATCCTTAGCTGTATTATTCTTTTGTGCACAACATAACTCCATAATCATCTTTGTGAGACTCATTCCAAACATGAGTCAGATGTTATCATGAATGTAAAGAATGTTTTTGCTAAAAATCAATCCACAGATGGAACATGTCAACTTGTTTTTATATTCTAGTCTACATCCATAAATGAATTATTATACATTTCCTTTTATTTCTGCATTTACTTTCACAAGGCTTAGTTGCTGATCTGCCTTTAGGACTAGCAGTCTCCAATATTGCAGAAAATTTCAGCTCATCTATTTCCTAACAGTGTTTTCATTCTTGAGAGTAAAACCAAGGACATACATGATACAGGACAAAAAAGCTCTATTTTTAAAATAAAACCACCGAAGAATTTCCAGTTTTTTGTAATTGTGTTGCAGACTTGAGGGGCCTTGCCATACTGATTGGTCCTGTTCTAGTCTTTTGGCTTCAAAAAAATACATGACAAACGTACAGTAAAAAATATACTGTAGCAAAATTGATATGGAAATTGGTTTGGAGTTTGCAGTTATTGTCTCAGGGACATGTCTTCACTCTGGGGAAGATTGACATTGCCATGATCGATCTTCCAAAGTTTGATTTAGCAGGTCATATAAAGATTCACCTAATTGAACTCAGAGGGTGCCCCTGTCATTGGACAGTGCTCCTGCTCCTGCAAGGAGTAAGAGAAGCAGATGGGAGTGTTTGATCCTGTTGGCCTCCCACTGTGGAGACGGGCGGGGAAACTCAAATCAAGATACGTCGACTTCAGCTATGTAATTAATGGAGCTGGAGTTGCATATCTTGACTTGATTTTCCCCTTTAGTGTAGACCTGGCCTAAGCAGCTAGGTAGTTGCTGTATGTAGATAAGTCATCTTCAACTTCCTGAGCAACAACTACTGAATTGAAAACATTGAGCATGAAAAATTAGAGCTGCAGAAAAGTTGCTCATTTTGTGAAGGCCAAAAACAAATTCTTAACTTAGGCACAAGAAGAAAAGATTCTAAAATGTCATCCAGGACAGAAAATATGATTAAACAACTTCTAATCTGTCCAGACTAAAGTGTGTTGTCTGAAGGGAAGAAAGGAAAGAAAGAAAGAACAAGTATTGATGTTGTGGCTTGGTATATTTTCATACAGCTCAAAATTTCCTGAAAGGTGGTCTTGTGAGTAAATTTCTGGAAGCCAGTATACAGTAATAACTTCCATGGTGATTGAGTGACCATGAAACACGCTGGAATATCTCTCTCTCTCTCTCTCTCTCTCTCTCACACACACACTATTTTCTCTATACATACACGCAACATTTTCTCATTATTGTAGAGTGAAGAATGAAAAAAAAGTTCATTTTACTTTTATATGTTATAAAACCCTGTTTCAGACAAGGAGCTTTAGAATAATTTATTGTATTAAGCATGAACAGCTCATCTAGTAATTCCCTCAGTTATCCAACCTCCCCCATTTATCTAAATATTTTTATATAACCCTAAAACATTTCAGCTATATGTATTACACCGAGAAATCGATTTGAATGACTTCGAGCAAAATTTGCCATTGTATAGTTTCAAAAATTGCAAGGCCAGAAAGGACCATTCTGATTATGTAGTACAGTATAACCTCCTGTTTAACACAGGCCATAGGACTTTACCCAAAATAATTCCTAAAGCAAGTCTTTTTAAAAAATTCCATCTCGATTTCAAAAATTGCCAGTGATGGAGAATCTAGCATGATTCTTGATAAATTGTGCCAGTGGATACCCTTACTTTTAAAAATTAGCACTTTGTTTCCAGTCTGAATTTCTCTAGTTTTAACTCCTAGCTTTTGGATTGGATTATATATTTGTCTAATAGATTGAAGAGTCCCTTATTAAATGTGTGCCACATGTAGGTGCAAATATATGTTTAAGTCCTCTCTTAACCTTTTTGTTAGACTCAAGGACCTCATTCTATGCAGCTTATTGCTATAAAGTGTATTTCTAATCCTTTTAATCATATTTTGTGACTCTTTTCTGAACCGTATCAACATCCTTTGTGAACTGTGGAAACTCAAACTGGACAGAGTATTCCAGCAGCAGATATACCAGTGTCACATACAGAGGCAAAATAACTTTTCTACTACTTAAGATTTCCTGGTTTATGCATCTAAAGATCACAGTAGCCCATTTATCCCTGCCATTGCTCTGAGAGCTCTTGATTAGCTGATTATGCACCCTGACCCTCAAGTCATTTTCTCGAGTCACAGTTTCCCATTCTAGAGTCCCCCTTTGTCTAAGTATGATCTACATTCTGTGTTCCTAGATATACTAATTTACATTTAACGAAATAGGAAAATGCAACCTAGATGGAGCTGGTTGATAACTAGTCCCAGAGAGGAGTTATCAGAAGAGGCGTAGTGAAGCTGTTATGTGTCCATGGGCAAAGGCAAAATTTGCGCTTCCCTCTCCCTTCTGCCACCACCGCGCAGTGGGGTCCCGAGGATGAGCCCGACTCTGGGAGGAAGGGGAAGGGGGAAGCTTGTACCGCATCATCCCCCACCCCCTTCAGTTTGGGGCCAGGCCCCTGCATGCACTAATCTGTCGGTGGAGATGGAGGAGGGTCAAGCTGGGGGCAGGGAAGTGGCTCCAGTCAGCAGCGG